ATGACAGTGCCCAATATAAAAGGCCCAAGCCCAAGCCCAAGGAGCCAATCTTGAAAGTCCTGAAAGGCAGTGCTCCACTTCATTCAGCAAATCAATTTGGGTGAAAATCAAGAAGAGGAAGAAGAACAGATCGAAAATGGGGAAGCCATTGGGAACCACCGGAGAGTTTTTCAGGAGAAGGGACGAGTGGAGGAAGCATCCTATGTTGTCCAATCAGTTCCGACACGCTTTCCCTGGTCTTGGCATCGCTGTTGTAGCCTTCAGCATCTATTGTGTCGGCGAATTTGCCTATAACAAGATGTCTACTCCTTCTCACTCCACCTCTTCCGCCGCTGTTTCTCACTCTCACTGAGATTCGATATGGGTCGGGCTTGTAGTGAACCCCAATTGTCTCTTTTGGTACGACTCCTTTCTGATTTTGTGATTCTTTATTATACCAACCAACTGGTTGAAGTCTGTGTTTTGTGGAATACAATTTGATATGCTTTAATGAGGTGGGGTTTGTGAATTTTCTTAATTTTATGAGATGGGTCTCCTTGATATGCTAATGATCCGAATTGGGGCCACTTTTTTTGTTTGTTGATGAATTAGTCTTATTGATGCGAAATAGTTCATGTGTTTTAAATACGTTCATGTTGTTATAGATTGGAGATTGTATGATCCTATGCTAAGAAATGTCTTTGGTGATGCTTAATAGATGCTTGATTAAATTTGGGTGGGTGGGGGTGTGGTTGGTGTTCCCTGAAGTGGTGTAGCCTCCACTATACTCCTCTTAAGCACCATAGCTATGCCAATTGTGTTTTTTGTCATCTAGGTGTAAAGATTATACTACAATGATTAAATCTAGTGCCTTCTTTTGATATGTTCATGTCAACTTTGAGTTCTTTTGAGTATCTTGTCAAAAATTAAACTGTGAGTTCTCTAGGGTCTCTACTTGTTTCATTGTTAGATTTCTCTTATACTATGTCTTGAAGGTATCCAATTTGTACCTTAAGCAGGACCACCAGTTTTAGTATTGATCATACCACAATCGTTGCATTAGGTACACCAGTTTTCACTTGTCCTTTATCTCACCTGACTGTTGGATGGTTGCTTTTTGTGCAATCAGAATTTATAAGCTCAGGGGTTTAGATATGTCCCTTTCATAAAAGTGTTTGCTTCTTGTGTAATCAGAGTTGTTATGCTCAAGTGGCGAAATGTGCCCCTGTCATAAAATTGAGGATGTCGTCTCCTATGCAAAGTAATGTCTCTGCCTGTGTCTTTGATTTGATTGGTGTATGTGTCAAAGCGTGTCCAGTGTATGCTATTACTTCCTTTGGGCTCTCTGTATTTTGATTTCCTGTTGTACTCTATGCACAATTCTTAAAATAATGCCTTTTCAATGATTTTGCATCAATGTTGAGTCCTCTCGAATTTCTTCCACTGTTTGTTGTTATATATTTTAATACCATGTCTTGAAGGATTCTGGATACATCCTTAAAGAGACAAAAATAAAAAAAATGCCAATTGCTGTACACAATAATAGAACCTATCCAACACCCCCATTAATTCGCTTTGTGTCTTGTCTTCTGATTAACTCAGTATTTGTTAGTTGCTGCATGTTGCACCAATTATCGAAGTTGTTGCAACAAATAACTGAAGTTATTGGATTTTACTGGAAAACTTGGGGGGCTTTTAATAACACCTGCCCAGTTAAAAAAACTGGAATAACCTTTCTTAAAGAAAAGACTTAAATGCCTCCCTTAATTAAAGGTCGTTAGAAACAAGACGAGAGGAGCATATGCCTTCTAACTTCTATATCTTATTGCACAATTACGTTAGATAAGTGTGGGTTGATCTCCTTTACCTGTGCTACTTATCAACTTAAGTTATTTGGGAACAATATGTTACTGCCTTACTGGAATGTTCAGGTTTATGTATTCAATCATCCCTACTATGAGTCTGGCCTTGTTGCCACTTGCCACTCCTACTTAACTAACACATTATACTAATAGAAACAAGGATACTTCTATTTCAAAAAAAGAAGAAGAATAAAGGGTACTTTTGATTAAGGCATTAGGGTGACATTGGAGTCTTTTATTTGAGGAAATGTGATTCAAGTTTTTTTATCGGGTAGGGATGACTCTTTTGAAATTAGTGTTAATGACGCTAATTTTAAAAGCCCCAAGTGCACCTTGTTTATTAGTGTTAAGGGACCAATAGGACATCTCCTTAATGCTATGACCTTTTAAAACTGAAACACTCACATTCTCAGCTCATAACCTTTTCTAGTTGCACTTTGTTTACTCTGTTTATGTGGTCTACTCCTATAAAAAAAATTCATATGAAAGATTTGGAAGATGCAGTTTACTTTTTGAATGTGTTTGATTTGCTGGGTTGCATATTGTTTTAGACAGTTGCATATTGTTTTAGACAGTTGCTGCAAGGTTTCCATGTCAAATGTGACACCTAAACATTGTCTCATTCAATTTTGTTGTACGACAACATACCCAATGTAATCTCACAAGTGGGGTCTGGGGAGGATGGTGTGTACTCAGCCTTGCCCTTACCTTGTGAAGGTAGAGAGACTATTTCCGTTAAGACCCTTGGCTCAAGTGAAGCCCCAAAACAAGTATGGGAAGGAAATACAATATAAAGATGTCATGCTAAAAGAAAGGAGAAGGGTACAATAGCAACAACATATGATACGGTGGAAACAACATGTAATAATAAAATTGAAGAACAAGATAATAGGAGAGTAATAATAGCAATATTGATATGGGAAATTGGACGACGCTTGGAATATTTTACAGTATATCTTTGACTCCATATAAGTCCCCTCACTAAAACCAATTAATGAACAACATAGAAAGGGAAGAGAGATTTACTGTATATCTTTGTCTCCAGATAAGTCCCCTCACTAGTTCGGCTAGGCAGTGATCTTCTTTTGAGGCAGGAGATCGGGAGGGAGGAACAACCTGGTTTTTGAAGCAATATCTAATTATTCAAGTGAGCATAATTTTTGACAAACAAGATCTAGCTAGTTGAGATTGTGTTATGGTCCCCGGTTATGGATCTAGTTATGGGACGCTGCAAGATAAATTCTGAAGTTTTCTTTTTTCTACCTATAGTGCTGGTTCGTTAAGAGAGAACCTGCGATCTCTTGAGTTTGAAGTACTCAAAAACTTGACTAATTTTCTGCTCCCCTTTTCCATTGAATTCAAATAACTTAAATACAACATTGGTGATTAACCACCCACCTAATAACAAGGAAATAACTTCCCACTACTACTGAAATGAGAAAGTGGAAAAATAACCTCCTTACTGCTAATAACTACTACTACAGAGAAAACAACTGCTATAGGAAAACACTGTTACAGACTTCTAATAACTACTACTACAAAGAAAACAACTGCTACAGAACCTATTACAGAGAAAACAGAAAAACATAATTAATAGCTACTGATTTAATTTCCATGCATAAAATTGTTGGTAGACTAAAAGGGCACTAACAGATTGCTTGCCCATGCTGCTAATTTGGAATATTTTGTATCTCATTGTACTTGTCCACTGTCCAGGAGTGTTGTTTCTATTTGGTACATTGGCAGCAGAATTTGCAAATTGAAAACTGACTTACGCTGTTGTTGTGCAGGTGAGGTGGTAGTGCAAGAACTGGGATGTCTATACAGTTCACTCGTGTTTTTTCTCAGTAATCATCAATAAGATATTTAACAAACATAGACATGTTGCCTCAATTTTTTTGAGACTTGTGTTGTAACAAGATTAATGAGCAGTTTGCTTTACTATGTATTGTCCTCGGTTTTGTGGTTTTCTATGAATCAACTATTCCATGGGCTCTCCCTTCTTTCTTTGCAGTTTGCTAATTCCACTTTCTCTCCATAGCATTCATTTCCAGTAGGGGAAACATTAGGAAAATATTTTTGTGTGGAAGTATTTAAGTCATATTTTGGGTATAAACCTAGTGGAACTGACGATATAAGTTCAATAATCTTGCTGTTAATGGATACATAAAAAATACAATTGAGCAAAAGAAACTATAATACTCCCTCTGTTTCAATTTATTCGGTTTTTTTTTCTTCTGTAGTTTAAAATAATAAGATTCATTTACTTTTTAAACATTGTGTTAAGTTGAAAATCCAAATCAAACAAATAAATTAAACTTGAGAACGTTTACTAAAGGAATATTTATAAAAGAAAAAAGAGAAAATGGCCAAATGCCCTCCTAGTCTATTATCGGATTTTCAACTATACACTTAAACTTCATGGGGGTCCTATCACCCCCCTGAATTGTTTAAAATCGAAATTATTGTATCCCTAAAAAGTCACAACCACATTTATGTTGATGGGTGAAACTCACGCGTTTGACACATGGAAATTCCATTAAAAAAAGTTTTTCTTCAATTTTTTCATTATTCTTTACTCTTTTCTTCAATTTTTTCACCATCTCTCCAAACCCAAAAATATTTTCACCATTACTATAAACACCAAAGGTCTACCAATCACTACAAATTTGAAAAGGAGAAGGTCGGCAATGATTTTGATTCCCATTTGTCATTTTATCCACTACTTGATTGGTATTAAGATCATTTCCATGAATGCATGTCAAATTTCTCAGATTAGAGTTAATGAATACATAACAATGGAGGAAAGTTGAATGTGGGTTTCATCGAAAATTCAAAATTCGTCATTGGTTTGGATTAAAATTACAAATTTGGAGCTCCGAAGAACCAAAATAAGAATTTGCCAACCGAATTAACTTTGTGGGTTGACCATGTACAAGGATGATTAACAACTCCAATAATATTGATAAAAAGTTGATTTTCAAAAATTCCTAATTCCATACACAAATTAGAAAGAGGAATACAAAAATTCTATGGTACATCCGGTGAAGATAGCAGTGGCGGCAACGACGTAAAAATGACGGGAGATGGACAGATCTGGTTACAAAGAAGGAAGAGATTTCTAAACATTTATAATACCTCGTCTCCCTTTCCAATCCCACACAAAAACTCGTCATTTTCCCCCCTTCACGCGGGCCTTTCCATTGACTCAAGTCCTCAAAGTTCTAAATTATCCATTTTCGTTCTCTAGTTTTCATTGTCAAAATCTGAATTGGATCATTATCCTCTTTTGTCTCTGCATAAACTCTTAGTTGGGTCATCGTTTTCTTTGGACTATTTTCAATGGCAACCCCACAAACCCGTTATACTTTCCACGTTTTCTTGAGTTTCAGAGGCGAAGACACCCGAAAAAACTTTACTGATCATCTTTACACAGCTCTCATCAACGCTGGAATTCGAACTTTTCGAGATGATGACGAAATCCGCAGGGGAGAAAACATAGAATCTGAACTGCAAAAGGGTATTCGAGAATCCAAGATTTCACTAGTTGTCTTCTCCAAAGATTACGGTTCTTCAAGATGGTGTCTTGATGAGCTTGTCAACATTCTTGATCGAAGAAAGAAAGAGGGTCATACTGTTTTACCTGTCTTTTACACTGTGAGCCCTGAGGATGTCCAGAACCAAACTGGAAGTTTTGCTGAAGCTTTTGTGAATCATGAAAAGAGAGGAAACGCAGAGAGTGGAGAGAAAAGAAAGGAATGGATGGAGAAGATGGAGAAATGGAGAGTAGCTCTGAAGGAAGTTGCTGAATTGGAAGGAATGTGCTTAGCCAAAGAAGTAGACGGGTCAGTTTCCTAAATTATCCAAACCCTTGGTATTTTTCTTCTTTTTCAGTATTTGCAGTTATTCGCCCTTCAGTAATTAGTCATGAGAGCTATGTTAGTTCTAATTGTTTCTGGTGAAAGAAATAGTTATGGCTTAATAATTGCTTTAATCTTTACTTGAAGGGAAACTTGGCTGATGATATTAGTGAAGTACCATAGATAATAATCTAAAACTATGTTTTGTTCTGGATTAAGTAGTCAACCGATTGATTTCATCTATTTAAATCTGGAAATTCGCTTTTGAGGATCAACGGTATTCCAACTTAGCCAACACACGATTCTCCCCAAACAAGAAAACCTATTCATCAGTTGGAAAGTTCTGATGTAAATTTGCCATTCACTCAGTACTAGTTGTCCTGTATTTTAGGTTGTGGCTATTGCAATGACATAGTGCCAGTTTTCTAATTCATGAGTAAACAAGTTGTAAACATTATTTTCTGAGAATAATTTATAGTATCTATGCATCTGACTATCATAAATGTCCAAGTGACTGGCCCGCAAAATTTTCTATTGTAAAGGTTATTTCAGGAAAAGATACAATGGAAATGCTAAATGGGCAAAATTTAAAAGATGGATTGACGAAACTTCTACCAAGGCATGTAAAATTAACTGTGAACAGCCCAAACTTAAAGAGATTTAATATGTTAAAGACCCTGGATAGTACGTTGAGCTCTAAGCAAATTCGAGCAAAAAAGTTTAACAAAGTTGGCATAAATCTAATTTGAAAGACTAATCAGATGAAAGACACAAAGTTCAAAGCTAAAGATGATAAAAAGCTACCTCAGGTTGGATTCTAGTTAAGTGTGACAGTCACGTGTGAGTATGCCAAATGGCAAGTGCTATGCATAAGTCGCGATTGAACCTCGTGGGGTTCCCCTAAAGGATAGAGATTCCTAGCTTTCATGTATATTCCTTTTCTCTGAATGTAATGTATTGTTGGTCATCCACTCTAGAGACAAACGAGGATGGTCTTCTGGCTTCTTTTGTTGCTATGAAATGTGTCGCATGTGGATCCCATTGGAGAAGTCTCATTACTGATCCTTTTTCAATATTTTCAACCTCAAAGACTCAAACCACTAAAAATAGAATGTCTTTTCCCTATTAGATCTGCTGATTTTTAAAGGAGTCCACATAGACAACATACTGACTTGTACTTTATCCATTACAATCACCTATATCCTTAGGAAACACATTTTAATGCTCAATATTTCTGGCAACTCTTCAATTAGATTTTGTGTCCTCTTTTCCATGAATATGTGCTGCCTTCTACCTTGGGGGTATGGAGGCACCCTAGTTGAACTCTTGCTGTGCGTGGATGTGTCTGTGCTGTTTTCTTTTCTTTTCCCTTCTTTCCTTCCTTTTCCTGCTTATCATATGCCAGAAGTTAGTAAGACCTCTCTCTGACTAGTTGAGGTAAAAAACTTGGACAAGACAACTAGGGACTCTTGGATTTAAAACTTGCTCTCAAATTATTCCGATTAAGATAGATGGGAGCAATAATTTCTTGCTTTCCATGTAATCTTCCTTCAAGTCTGTGAATGCTCTTGACTTGTATGTGCTTTTAGCTTTTCCAATCAGCAGTTCTTCAAGCCATTGTGTCCTCAATTATTTGTTATGAGAGTCAAAATGATCTATTTAAAGAGTGAAGGATATATAAAGGGAGGGTACCAAATAGCTGAATAGACAAATCAAAAGGTACAAAAGAACGAAATGTTGTCATGATACACTCCATTCTCCTAGTGTGGATGCACTTTGTATCAGTATCTTTTGGAAATTTTTGTATGATATAGCCTCAGTTATGATGAAGCTAAACTGTGTCCTTGTCTTAATCATTTTCCTAACCGGAAATGGTTCACTGTAATATTTCATGGTTCTCTATTTATTGTACTACTACTCTCTTTATTTTGCTGTCCATTTCCCTCTTTGTTGCTCCTCAATATTGTCAAATTCTTCACAGCACACAAATAAAAGTAAATATCACTCATTTTTTCTCCTGTAGTACCAGTAAGCCACATATATTTCATCTTTGTTGCTTTTCTGGAAAATGTATAAGTTTATTGATTTAGCATTAAGAGATTGCTTTAAAGGTATACTTTCACGTTTTTTCTTAATTGAGTCTAGACACCTAACCAGGTTATTTCGTTTATTGATGATTAATATGACAGATCATCCTGGTGTGTTATGCTTGCTCTAAATGAAGTATTGCCATATCAGTGCTCTCTTTATTTGTTCTCCAGTACTTGGCAAGTTGCAGTGCCTAACTGAATTTTCATCTTGCTTTGTCTCTAACATTTGCACTGCATCCCAGGCATGAGGCAAAATTCATCCAAAAGATCATCAAGGAGATACTCAAAAGATTGAATCGCACAGTACTTAGTGTACCTTCATACACAGTTGGATTAGAGTCTCGGGTGAAGGACATTAACTCATGGTTACAGGATGAATCCAGTGAAGTTGGCATTGGGATGATCTGTGGACTTGGTGGCGTTGGAAAGACTACTGTTGCTAAAGTAGCTTACAACTCTAATTATGACAGATTTGATGGGAGTTGCTTTCTTGCAAATGTCAGAGAAATCTCTGAGAAACATCCAAATGGTCAGGTTTATTTGCAAAAACAAATTTTTGAAAGTATTTTGAAAGGCAGAAAGGAAAAAATATACAATGCTGATGAAGGAATTGTCAAAATGAAAGATGCTATTGGCAACAAAAAGGTTTTTATTGTATTTGATGATGTAGATCAGCTGGATGTCTTAGATTCACTTATTGGGACAAGGGATTGGTTTTATCCGGGGAGTAAAATTCTCATAACGACAAGGTGTGAGAAACTGTTGAAGTCCTATGAGAGGCACATGCTATTCAAGATAAAGGAACTTGGGGTTGATGAGTCTCTAAAGCTCTTCAGTTGGTATGCTTTTGCACAAGACTACCCATTAGAAGAGTTCAAGATGCTTTCAACAGAAGCAATACAGCATTGCGGTGGGCTTCCGTTAGCTCTTTATGATTTGGGTTCGTTTCTTTCAGGGAGAGGTATGGAAATATGGAGGAGTAAATTGCAGAAATTGGAAGCAATCCCTCATAGCAGAGTTCAAAAGAATCTTGAGATAAGCTACAAGTCTCTAGATGATCATGACCAGAGGTTGTTCCTTCTTATTGCTTCATTATTTGTTGGGAAGGACAAAGATTATGTTATCAAATTTTTAGAGAACAGCGATTTGCACCCAACAGTTGGAATTCAGAACCTCATTGACAGATCCCTCATCAGCATTGATGACGAAAACAAAGTTATGATGCCTCCACTTATTCAGGACATGGGAAAAGAAATTATTCGTCGAGAATCACCAGATGATCCCGAGAGATTGTGTAAATTATTGAACCAATGTGGTCTATCAAATTGCTTGACAGAAAACAATGTAAGAATCTTGACTTTTCTATTCATGTTAAGCTTGTGTTGGTAGATTCTCAAAGTGTTCTTGTTTCTCACAGAATCTTTCTGCAACAGGAAACTGATGCAGATGGAGTAGACCTCCCAGGCACCCATCTGCCAGAAGATGGTCTTGTCCCAGCACTTGGTCCTAATGGTGCAAAAAGACCATATTATCAAGATTTTCCAGAAATAGCTGTTCTGCCATACCTAGGTAATTCGTTGAAAAGGCGCTTTATAGGACTTCTTTCGACGTTCCCCTTATCTGGTGGCCTCAAAAGATTCTTCCCATGATGAGAGAAGAAGTACTTGTGATGATGCCTTCTTTCTTTCGGGAAAACCAACATTTTACTGCTTAATCTCGTGGAGCTAGAAGATATACATGAGTGTTGTGAGAGTCGGGGCTTCAATAAGGATCATTATCCGATAATATCTGAGCATTTTTTGTCCTTGACATACCGTCTTAGTTGCACAAATTTGTAAGTTGCAAAGGTACATTCACTCCTGTTCTTTTTCATCAGCTTCAGGTGGGCAATTGTGTAAATTATGTTTATTAACTCATTGTACAGTCATAGGGTCATTTCTTGCTAGCTGCATAGTTTACTTCAGCAAACAGTTAACTGGAAGGAACTAAAAATGTAATCTTTAACCATTCCTTTTTAGTCTCTCAAAAAATGTCTAAAAGTTTTATCTCTTTCATATTTCTAATTAAATTTTATTTACTATCAAGAGTACCATATCCAACTTTTACATGACTTAATTCATAGTGAATATATGATGTGTTTTGGTTATTTACTCTGCATCAATCATAGTAGGAATTAAAGCTCGATCTTTACCTTTTAAGTGGTAAATAATGATTGGCTAAAACGTAATGCTTAAAGAGGATATCGACTTGTAATCAAGGGTCTGATCTAGTGTGGTTAATGAAGTAGTTTTAGAATCATAATATTTTGGTGAACAAATTATTCGATATTTGTGCGGATGGAAGACACTCTATCGAATTAGTGCATGTCCGCGTAAGTTATTATAAAAGGAAAAGAGGGGATTTCGACTTGTTATTTCAAACAATGGGATTTCAAGAATTTGCTTCTTCACATGGAGTCGGAATAATAATATGCCAATATTGAAAAGGAAAATACTATTATCAGAATCAGATTCACTAATAATTGTCCTTTAGACTTTGAAGTCTAAAATCCAAAAATATTTACCAAAAACATTCTGGCGGAGTCCAATTTTTTTTTTACCTCGCTATCCGTTAAATATAAGCCACACGATACTAGATAATGTGAAAATCATAAAAATTCTAACAAACATAGAAATTTGTGACACAAAGGACTATTGGGTGCCAGTCCATTGAGGATAAATAGTAAGACTCAGAAGAGAGTACTTTTTTGAATTTTGATCCTAAAATCCAAATCTAAATGGCTTTTAGGCAGAATGTAAAAACCAAAGTCAAAGAAAAATCTTGCACTCAAAGTAATAGTAGTCATGTCTTCTATGATTGTGTTTGACTGTAATGAAAGTTTTTAAAATTTATAATCTAAAACAAGTTTTGAATATTTATGTGATTATAAATTATCTAGTTATAACAGTAATTGATTTTCAGTTAAACTAGTTGGATTACACCTTAATTAGTTGTAATTACTTGTATTTTATTTCTTGTTGTTTCTAAGGAGTTTTTTTTCCCTTCTATAAATGTCCAATATAAGGAAGTATGTGATTTAGATAAGAGTCCCTAATTTACCTTAAAAAGATAAATATGTTTAGTGTTGAAACAGAATTAGCTTAAATAGAAGGATACATGTTGATTCTCTAAGGTCTTAATCACGGAAAGAAGAAAGTAACCAAATAAGATAAATTTTCCCAATATAAGTATTCTAGAATATAGTTTATATATCAGTTGAAAAGTAGTCATAATTTTATTTTCACTTTTTAAAATTTAACCCATTGTTTTTCATAAGGTTGACATTAAAATCTTGCACATATGGTAGGAACCTATGTCAGTTAGGTTGATTAATCTTCGGAGTTAAAGGTGACTGAACTAATTTAATATTTTAAAATTAAAATTTAGTTATTTGAAAAGTATATGAAAAATAGTATAAGTTGCAATTCTTCTCATATCAATATAGTGAAAAAATATATGGTAATTGTTAAAAGTTCATATAGTTTAACTGTGGAGAAACAAACGTGACAAATATTTTGGGACGGAGGGAGTAACCTCTTCTTACCTTGGTTTTTCCAAATCTAGCTGCATTTAATAATAGATAAACTGTGTAATATTAACTGCATAATATGTATTGCCAATTTGTTGTCATTTTCTAGGTTAGTTAGTGATATGTAGACCTTAGGTTATGTAAATTTTTTAGAATATATGTGTTTCCTGTTGATTTGACATGTGAAAACAATGCATGTACCTTCTTAGACTGCTTGCAGATGCAAAATCACCTGTTGATTTGACATGTGAAAACAAAGAATTGCTTCTCAAAGAACAATCTTTTATCTGTGATTGATCAAAACAAAAACAAAAAATGTCTCAGTTTGCTTTTCATGCATTTCTGAGTTTGGCAACAAAAATAGGCAAGTCTTTTGGAAATCATCTTCATTCAGCTTTATCAAATGCTGGTATTCGCGCATTCAGTGTTGATGAACTTGATATAGATGAAAAAGGGTGCAAAGAATTGCAGAAAACAATTCAAGAATCAAGAATTCTCATTGTTGTTTTGTCAAAATACTATACCTCTTCAGAGAGGTGCCTTGATGAACTTGTGTTTATACTTGAGAGCAAGAAACTTTTTGGACGTTTCGTTTTACCTGTGTTTTATGATGTGGATCCATCAGAAGTCAGGAAACAAAAAGGAAGTTTTGAACAAGATTTTTTAATGTATGAGCAGAGATATAGATCCGGGACCGAGGAAAGGAGACTGGAATGGTTGCAGAAGGTGAAGGAATGGAAGGCTTCTCTAACAGAAGTTGCTGATTTGGGAGGAATGGTCTTACAGAATCGATCTGATGGGTAAGCTCTTACTAGAATTACAAATTGTTTCATTCCCTTTTCTAAGATGATCTTTCATGTGACTGAAAATGGAACTCATTGTAATTTTCAGGTGTGAGTCAAGGTTTATTCAGGAGATTGTGAAGGTGGTTGCAGGAAGACTAAATCGCACAGTTTTGAGTGTAGCTCTCCACCCCGTTGGAATAGATTCTCGAGTTAAAGACATAAATCTCTGGTTGCAGGATGGATCAACTAGTGTTGATATTATGGCTATATATGGTATGGGGGGGCTAGGTAAATCTACCCTTGCCAAGACTGCTTATAATCTTAACTTTGACAAATTTGATGGCAGCAGCTTTCTTGCTGATGTGAATAAAACTTCAGAAAGATATGATGGTCTGGTAAGTCTACAAAGACAACTTCTTTCAAATGTTCTAGGGAAGAAGGTTGAAAAGATATACAATGTCGATGAAGGAGTCATCAAGATTCAAGAGGCCATCCATTGCAGAAGAATTCTTCTTGTTCTCGATGATGTGGATGATCGAGATCAGCTAAATGCGGTTCTTGGGATGCGAGAATGGTTTTATCCAGGTAGTAAAATAATCATAACAACCAGAAATCAGCACCTGTTTGATGCTAGTGAGGTCTGCAGTTGTAAGATGTATAAGGTCATGCCATTGAATGCTCAAGAATCGATTCGACTCTTCAGCTGGCATGCTTTTGGAAAAGAAAAACCTTCAGAAGATCATGAGGACCTTTCAGAAAAGGTGATACTTCATTGTAAAGGGACTCCTTTGGCTCTCAAAGTTTTAGGTTCTTCTCTTTGTGACAGAAGTATAGAGGTGTGGGAGAGTGCATTAAGGAAGTTAAAGGCAATCCCTGACAATAAGATCTTGGAAAAACTTAGAATCAGCTACGATTTGCTGCCAGATGATGATGATGTACAGAAAATATTCCTTGATATTGTCTGTTTCTTTGTGGGAAAGGATAGAGACTATGCAGTAACTATACTCGATGGATGTGGTTTTTTCTCAGTAGTAGGAATTCAGATTCTGTCAGATAGATGTCTGATAGAAATGGACAAGGATAAGCTGAAAGTGCATTCATTGATTCAAGATATGGGAAGAGAAATTATCCGCCTAGAATCCCCTTGGGAGCCTCGGAAAAGAAGCAGAGTTTGGCGATACAGAGATTCCTTCAATATATTGAGTACAAAAACTGTAAGAAATCTTACTCTTTGGTATTGTATATGCATTATGATTGACTGTAATAAATAAACAATTGTTGTTCTTCTATCAGGGAACTGAAAATATTGAAGGTCTGGTTCTTGACAAGGGAATGTCTAACAAATTGTCCAAAGCAGTCAAATCTATCAGATCGTATTTCTTCAGTGAAGATGCTGGTCCGATAGGTCATGGCTATCCAAGAAAACGCCGCAAGCATTTGGAACATTTTGATGATGCCAGCACAGAAGGTTCAGACAGTATAGAATTTGAAGCTGATGCATTTTCCAGAATGCAGAGGCTGAGGATTCTCCAGCTTAGTTATGTAAGCTTAACTGGATTCTATAGTTTGTTTCCGAAAGGTCTAAGATTACTATGTTGGTCTGGATTTCATATGAAGATCATCCCTGAGGATCTCCCTATAGAGAGCCTGGTTGCCCTTGAAATGAAAAAAAGTTATTTGGAAAAAGCCTGGGAGGGAATTAAGGTATGTTATAAATGTGTTTCCTTTCGATCTACTGCAGGAAAATGACTTTAGAATCAGACTTAACTTTACCTCTTACTTCATGTTGCAGATTCTTAGATCATTAAAGATCCTCAACATTAGTCATTCCCATTTTCTAAAAAGAACTCCTGATTTTTCTGGACTTCCCCATCTGAAAACATTGATCCTGAAAGACTGCATTAAGTTGGTCAAGATTCATGAATCAATTGGATGCCTTGACGGACTTGTCTATCTGAACTTGAGAGACTGCAAGAATCTAAGGAAACTCCCTGGAAGCTTTTGTAAGCTCAAATCCTTAGAAAAACTTATTATCTCTGGCTGTTCTAGACTAGTTACGTCAGCAATAGAGCTAGGCAAGTTAGAATCTTTGACAACCCTGCAGGCTGATGGAATGAATTTTGGACAGCTAGCCCCGGTGGGTGGTAACATGAATTCATGGAGTGCCCTCTGGAAAACTTGGTCATCAAAGTTGAGAAGATCCCCAGGCTCTAACCAGTTTTCGTTCTCTTCTTTATCAAGTTCGCTCGTCAGCTTAAGTCTTTCTAGTTGCAACTTAACAGACGATGCTCTATCCTTCGGCCTCAGCAACCTTCCCTCATTATGCTTCTTGAATCTAAGTGAAAACTTGATTTATAACCTGCCTCAGAGTATCAAAAATCTTGGTAAGCTCCAAGACCTTTGGTTAGATGGATGTCAAAGCCTCCTATCTCTGCCAGAGCTTCCGTCAAGCCTTGTTAAGCTAAAGGCAGTTAGATGCTCATCACTGGAAACAGTCACAAATCTACCAAACCTAATGACAACTCTCTTTTTAGATGTCATGGAAAGTGAGAGCTTAACTGAGATTTCAGGAATTTTCAAGCTAAAGCCCATTGATAATTTTGAAGTGGAAATATTGAATGCTCTACGCCTTCTTCTCAACCTAGATAACACATTCGATACAGTGGTGGAAATATTTAATAGGTTCACCAAAACAAAAAGGATGTATTCAGTACAGCAGGTAAGTTTTGTTTCTTACTGTAAACTTTCTCCTCAACCTGTTGAGCAAATCCAATGTTAAGTACCTTTTCTTTTTCCTTTTTGGCATCAGGGACTCTATGAATTTGGAATCTTCAGTACTTATTTTCCAGGAAATGAGGTTCCAAGTTGGTTCAGCAACAAAAGTGAACAGAGATTGTTGACATTGTATGTGGATTCACTTCCTAATATCAAGATAACAGGACTGCTTATTTGCATTGTCTATGCACGTTCTAGTCCTCGTATATTTCGCTATTTTAGTGAATTCGGGGGATCTCATACAATTGACATCAAAGTCCAAAACATAACACAGGGTCTTAAGTGGATTTATGCTCCATCATTCATTGGCATTCCAGGAGAGAACAACAAGTTGACATTTTTATGCCACTGGAAGTTTGGCAAGTATTTACAAACAGGTGATCAGATTAATGTTTCATTGCCTTGTTGGGGTAAAACTTTCAAGATGAAAGAGTTTGGAGCTACACTTGCTTATAACAATCCAGATTTAGACCAGTCCTCAGCATCTACTAGTGAAACAAGAGTGCTTGCAACGCGACATACTCCACTTAGTGATTATCAATCTGAAGAAAGTGTCATGGAAGGCTTCATGCCTTTATATCAGTTGGCGGTTCATCATTACTATCTTTCTCACCCTGAGTACTTTGTGATGCGTGACAATGCAGATTTCGTTGTGAGGTCAATCTTGAACGAGAAATTGTTTGAGGATTATGATGTGCAGATTGCAGGTTCAGGTCTGTGCTTCTTATATATCTTGCATATCAAAAACTTTATCATGACATATACTCATTTGTGTACTATTGGATGATCATGTATTATATATGGTCTATTGATGGAGCAGGGGAAGAAGAAGAGGATGATGATGATAGCATCTTCGATTATGACGAGGATGAAGGCGAAGAGGCTGCACTAGCAGAGCTCGAGGAGCTGTTGGAAAGATCTTGGTGAAGGAAATGAAACAATGGTGCAGCAGTTTTAACCTAAGTTGCTCGGACTCTCCAAATATATTGTCGCACTCGTGTCAGATCCTTTAGAAATACACTATTTTTGGAGGATCCGACACGCACCCGTCGACATTTTTGAAGAGTCCGAGCAACATAGATTTTAACACATTGACAGAGCTAAAACAATTTGTTATACTTGGAGGTGAATGATTTATAAACACATAGGTTCTTTTCCTTGGTCCCTTGATTATAGCTGCACATATGGTATGTTGTTTTAGATCACAAATTTAAAAAATCTTTCTTCTTTATAAAGTTTTGTGTTAAGTAAAATGATGTCACATTAATTGGCACGGGAAAGTAGTCCATCCATTCCAAAATAAGTAGTGGAGTAATGTTATTAACTTAGGCACAATCCTCGTGAAAAATTGAAAACTACTCAGTTTTAGAAAGTAAGATGTAACTTTACTAACTTACCCTCAATAAGGCTAAAATTGGAATAACATCATTAATGTCTTCCGGAATACATAAAACATTCTTAAAATAAGGCTAAAATTGGAATAACATCATTAATGTCTTCCGGAATACATAAGACATTCTTAAAATGAAATGGTAAAAACATCACTTATTTTGTATTCCTATTCTACTTTATGTAGCAGACTTCATTTTAGTCTTTCCCAAAAATAATATCATCTTATTATAATTAAAAATAATTTAACTTTAATATCATGTTAAGTCAAATGACGCCACATAAAATGTGATGGGTAGAGTAATAATTTCTTCTCAAACCCTAATAATCATTAATCCCTTGGTCCCTTTGAATACATCAGGAAAACAGTCTCTCTTATCTCAAAATTTGGATTGTTTGGCCTGCAACCTCTCCCCTTCAGAGATGAATCTTGGTCCAGTCTCACAGTGCTCATTCAATGTCTCATCTTCTACAATTCCACGTTTTCAGATAACTTCTTTTCCCCCTTCTTCACAGTCCTTGTCGTTGCGGAGGACTATTACTCCTTTGGCAATCTCAGCAATTGGGTCCAGAAAAGTTATTCCAGCGCGAGACCGAGTCATAGATTTTGGAAAATACAAAGGTAAAATGCTGGGAGCACTCCCATCCAAATACCTCAAATGGGTGACAAAGAATCTCCGAGCTCGCGACTTTGAAGAATGGGCTCAGCTAGCAGATCAAGTCCTCTCTGACCACATCTATAAGGACCGAATTGAATGGGAGTTCGCCCAAAATCTCCTCAACGGCGACGTTTCACCGGCAGGGACACAGACTGCCGTTTCCGAGTTGCTAGAAATCAGCACCAGATTCCGTTGGGACAATGACGATAAGTTGGGTTGGAGCAAAATTGATTTTGAGTTACTTGGGACCTCTAAAGGTGGTCGAATACCAAGGCTTTCCGATTCCCTCAATAATTCAATTAGGGTTGAAGATAAAAAGGGAGTTGATATTCCTCAGGAGGATGGCGAAAAAGACAATAGGGAGAGAAGACGGGAAAGGGTAAAGTTACAGAGGAGACAGAATGAATCTGGCTCGCCGTTGCAACGTTCAACTAGTATTACACAAAGAAGAGCAAATTCTGATCATTTCAATCGGCCCAAATCAGATCCAATCCGCTCATTTGACACCACTAATTATAACACGGAAACTCCAAGTCGTTTTCCGGGTCGTGAATCCCTGTTGAAGAAAGCCTTGTCTCTGGGTACCAGGAAAAATATCTCAAATTAATGAATTTGTTGTACTTGGAGGTGAAACACATTGTTTGGGTATCATTTGGTGTAGGAGATACGTTTTAACCTTAACCACAATAATCAACATTTGTTTCTATCATTAACTAGTAAGTGTTGTCCGTGTATTTTGTGTCAATCAATACAAATGTTATATTGAAGACGAACAAAAGTTGTTTGAATTAATGTAAGATGCGTCCTTTCGTTGGTTAATACTTAATGCTAAGCTTACTTTCTCAACATTGCATGTACTCAGCATACACACCGCAACTTTGCCTTATTATGATAATTCCCGCTGCCACTTTGAGCAAAGATATTTGACCTACTGATTTGCAGAGTAGATTTCAAGCTTTCAGTTTTTCAACTTTCGATGAGCACATACAAGACAATATTCTAAATCATTAGGGAAACATCATATTTCCTTCAAGAATGAAAACACACTACATTTTATTTCATTAACCAATCTTTATTCAATACATCAATCAACCAGAAAGAAAATCGGTCCAAAAGACCAGATATTCAATCTTGTTAGCAAATAATACTACTATATCTTCATAAAATGAATTAGAACATAATTAAATGGTATATATTTTTTCAAGAAACAAAGATGAGTAGTTGATTTATACTTCTAGTTATTATCCCACCAAAACTGTTCTTGAAGATCATCAATCACTTTCTTGTCAACTTGGAATGCTTTAGCGAGGACATCGTCATTAATTGGTGGATCTGAGCCAAATACTGCATTTGCAACAGTGATAACTCCTGCATTTTGGCTGCTCAGACCAGCGAATGCAATAGCATTAGTCTTTCCCACATTAAGTTGGAAATGAATTAGACCCTCGGGAAAAACAAAGACATCACCAGAGTTCAAAATCTTGGTGAATAATTTGTTCTTCATATTTGGTCCAGGGTTAGAAAGGACGAAACCAACATAGAGTCTTCCCTTGAGAACAACAAGAACCTCAGTTCCTCTAGGATGTGTATGAGGTGGATTGAGACCACGTCGTGCAAAATCAATACGAGCTAAAGAAATGCCTAGAGTGTTGAGCCCAGGTAAATTGTTGACGTTGACAGCAGTAACAATTGATCCAAGTTGATTTGACGTATTTCCAAGCTTGTTTAGGCCTGATCTGAAGAAGTCATCAGCAGTGACAAGTTTTGGATCCTTGCAAACTTTTCCATTCACGAAAACTGCATGAAAACAAATGTACATTAGAAATCAAAAAAAATGAAAAAGAAAAACAAGCACTCTGTATTCATTTAAACGTGAAGCTAGAACTTGAGTAGTAATTAATCTCAATTACCAGTTGTTTTAGTGTCATTAACAGCAACACAGAAATCTTGTAAGGGACTTGGGTCTGAGGCAGTGCTAGGTGAAGATGCCAAAGCCAATATGGCAATGGTTATAACAAGAAACTTCAGGGCCAAAGCCATAATTAGCTAGATAATTAATATCTAATTAATTAAAATGATGCTTCCTTAAGTTTATGTCTTGTGATAAACTTTGCATGAGAATGGTGGCTATTTATAGATGAAATTTCTTGAATGAGTCCTCATATTAAACTACCCCAAATAAACAATGAATTAATTAAGGTAGCTTCTTAATTATCAAGTCTTTGATGATTAGGTTATAATAAACCCAAATCCTGAACCCTTCTTCAACAACTACAGACTGATTAAGCCTCCCTGGGCCATTGGAAATGGTCAGTATTAGGAAATAAGAAAAATACAGAAGAAATAAGGAGTAACAAAGTCAAAATTGAAAAGTTATTAGAAAAGGTAAAACTTTCAATAGGACATTAAGGCGAGGGAAATATTTTACCAATTCAAACTTGGGTTTATTTAGACAAATTTCTTGTTATTACTGCGAATGTTCACAAAAAATTATACTGTAGTAAGATTTAGTCATTAATAGTTACGTTGTTGACATAACTTCATGATAGTATTTGTTTTCTATACTATTATAGTATTTGTTGTTATTTTTGCTTTCTAATTGTGATTTCTTTGTACAGTTTTCGTGAATGGGAAATTTTGCAAGGATCCAAAGGATGTTACTGCAGATGACTTCTTTAGACCAGGGTTAAATGTACCTGGGAATACTTCAAATCAACTTGGATCTGTTGTGACTGCTGTGAATGTCAACAACTTGCCTGGACTCAACACTCTAGGCATTTCTTTAGCTTGTATTGATTTTGCACCGTACGGTCTCAACCCACCTCATACTCACCCTCGAGGAACTGAAGTTCTTGCTGTCCTTGAGGGAACGCTCTACGTTGGATTTGTCCTTTCGAACCCTGGTCCAAATATGAAGAACAAACTCTTTACCAAGATTCTACATCCTGGAGATGTGTTCGTTTTTCCAATAGGTCTTATTCATTTTCAGTTTAATGTGGGAAAGACTAAGGTTGTTGCATTTGCTGGACTCAATAGCCAAAATCCAGGAGTCATCACCATTGCAAATGCAGTATTTGGCTCAGATCCACCTATCAGTGATGATGTTCTTGCAAAAGCATTCCAAGTTGATAAGAAAGTTGTGGATTATCTCCAATCACAATTCTGGTGGGACAACAACTAAATTAGTATGCTGCTATCATTTGAGCTTATGTTTGGAACTTAAGAAATCATAAATAAATCTCATGATCCAGCATTGTGGACTGGTTTCATTGATCTTTGTATTGGATATACTAAACGGGGATTTCTCATGGTTTGTTTTAGTTATAATTTATCACGTGTTACAGTAATGTTCTCAAAACTATACACAAGCATCAAATTAAAATACATTATTGTATTTATTGAATTTGATCAAGTATTTACACATTACTTTCTGATCCAAGCGTGTAGGAACACAACAGTAATATTAATAGTAGTTTTATTCTAGTACTACTGTATATAGTAGAATGAAAACTTGAAGTGAGTGTCATTGAAGTGTATAATTCTTTAATTCTCCTTAGACCATCTCCATGTTGGGTTCTGAAGGGTGATTAGGGCGTCATACGGAAGCTCACAATTGCAAATCATAAGACGATAAATTAGACGACACATAAAATTATACTAAAAGAAATATATTATTGTAGGATATGACCAATTGGCCTACATAATTAAAAACTAATCAAAAAACATAGAAACTGTAGAGAGAAAATCTCCCCATAAACAAAACTCTTAAAGAACTACATTGTGGATGCTATTGTTATGTGTTAGAAGAAAACAAACCTATATTTATAGAGTCCTAAAACATTTTCTTACTAGAAAAGGAGTCCTAAAGGAGAGAATAAACCAAATATGAAATAATATTATATTTTCCTTTCAAGAAAAGTAAAAACATTTATGGTAATGTTTTGTTTTTTCTTTAAGGAAAAACAAATCTTAAATTATGGTAAGAAAATCAGGGCAAAACCCTAACACTCCAACCCACCTCTATTAGGAGAGTAAAATAGAGAATGGGTTCTCCAAGCACTCTCTATTTCACTCTATTCTTCAATTATAGAGAGGTGAATAGTAATTCTTCAAATTCGGAGAACTACTATTCACCTCTCTATTTTACTTTTTGATATTTTAATATTATTTCTATTATATTACTAATTAAGTCTTTATCATTTGTAATTATTTTCTAATGTAATATAACATTAAAAATATATTATTAACAAGTTACTACTTTCACCCAAATTAATAATCTTTCTATTTTATAATACTACTATGTCTTCATAACATGTAATTAGAACATCATTAAATGGTATATATTTTTCAAGAAACAAACATGAGTAGTAGTTTTATATACTTTTAGTTATTATCCCACCAAAACTGTTCTTGAAGATCATCAATCACTTTCTTGTCAACTTGGAATGCTTTAGTGAGGACATTGTCATTAATTGGTGGATCTGAGCCAAATACTGCATTTGCAATAGTGATAACTCCTGCATTTTGGCTGCTTAGACCAGCGAATGCAATAGCATCAGTCTTTCCCACATTAAGTTGAAAATGAATTAGACCCTCAGGAAAAACAAAAACATCGCCAAGGTTCAAAATCTTGGTGAACAACTTGTTCTTCATATTTGGGCCAGGGTTAGAAAGGACGAAACCAACATAGAGTCTTCCCTTAAGAACAACAAGAACCTCAGTTCCTCTAGGATGTGTATGAGGTGGATTGAGACCACGTCGTGCAAAATCAATACGAGCTAAAGAAATGCCTAGAGTGTTGAGCCCAGGTAAATTGTTGACATTGACAGCAGTAACAATTGATCCAAGTTGATTTGATGTATTTCCAGGCTTGTTGAGGCCTGATCTGAAGAAGTCATGTCTTGTTTTATGTCTTGTAAGCTTGGAGAATGAAGGTGATAAACTTTGCATGAGAATGGTGGCTATTTATAGATGAAATTTCTTGAATGGGTCCTCAAGTTAAACTCCCCAAAATAAACAATGAATTAATTAAGGTAGCTTCTTAATTACCAAGTGTTTGATGATTAGTTTATAATAAACCCAAATCCTGAACCCTTCTTCAACAACTACAGAGACTAATTAATCCCCTGGGCCATTGGAAATGGTCAGTATTATGAAATAAGGAGTAACAAAGTCAAAATTGGAAAGTTATTAGAAAAGGTAAAACTTTCAATAGTACTTTTACATGCTTTGATATGAAAAAATATAAGATCAAAGTTTAAGGGAAGGGAGATATTTTACCAATTCAACTTCCCTTTATTTAAACAAATTTCGATTACTGCGAATGTTCACAAAAAATTATATTCTAGTAAGATTTAGTCATTAATAGTTACGTTGTTGACGAAACTTCATGACATTATTGTTTAAATATTCACCATTGAAGACTTGGATGATGCATGCAGAAGCCAAATCCACACTTTGTTTTGATCAAATTGTTATGTTGTCTTATAAATAGACACTACACTCTGCTCATATTTCTCACAGATAAAACAGAGTACATAAATTAAATTGTCTCTAACATATATATACACAGAGTTTGAACTAATTGTTATGGCTCTCAAGTACTTTCTATTAACCATTGCCATATTGGCTGTGGTGACTTCAATAAGCCATGCATCTGATCCTAGTCCTTTACAAGACTTTTGTGTTGCTGTTAATGATTCCAAGTCTGCTGGTAATTTTGATACTTCTTGCTGCTTTTGTTTGTTTTCTATACTACTATAGTATTTGTTGTTATTTTTGCTTTCTAATTGTGATTTCTGTGTACAGTTTTCGTGAATGGGAAGTTTTGCAAGGATCCAAAGGATGTTACTGCAGATGACTTCTTTAGACCAGGGTTAAATGTACCTGGGAATACTTCAAATCAACTTGGATCTGTTGTGACTGCTGTAAATGTAAACAACTTGCCTGGACTCAACACTTTAGGCATTTCTTTAGCTCGTATTGATTTTGAACCATACGGTCTCAACCCACCTCATACTCACCCTCGAGGAACTGAAGTTCTTGTTGTCCTTGAGGGCACGCTCTACGTTGGATTTGTTCTTTCGAACCCTGGTCCAAAGATGAAGAACAAACTCTTTACCAAGATTCTACATCCTGGAGATGTGTTCGTTTTTCCAATAGGTCTGATACATTTTCAGTTTAATGTGGGAAAGACCAAGGCCGTTGCATTTGCTGGACTCAGTAGCCAAAATCCAGGAGTCATCACCATTGCAAATGCAATATTTGGCTCAGATCCACCTATCAATGATGATGTTCTTGCAAAAGCATTCCAAGTTGACAAGAAAGTTGTGGATTATCTCCAATCACAATTCTGGTGGGACAACAACTAAATTAGTATGCTGCTATCATTTGTGGAATTTAGGAAATCATAAATAAATCTCATGACCCAGTATTGTGGACTGGTTTCATTGATCTTTGTATTGGATTTCTCATGGTTTGTTCTGGTTATAATTTATTGCGTGTTACAGTAATGTTCTCAAAACTATACACAAGCATCAAATTAAAACACATTATAGTATTTATTGAATTTGATCAAGTATTTACACATTACTTTCTGATTCAAGCATGTAGGAACACAACAGTAATATTAATAGTAGTATTATTGTAGTACTGTATATAGTTGAATGAAAACTTGAAGTCTTTACTAGAGTGTCACTGAAGTGTAGAATTCTTTAATTCTCCTTAGTCCGTTACTTCCTAGTGCTCTTGTTTGGACACTTCGCATTGGAAAATGATAACGAGTTAATAGAGTATTTCAGAACACATTTCTTCAAAATTAGAGAAATGTCATCATTACAAAATATAACAAATAAGATGATGACAGGACTGATTGTCATCTGAATTCCACATAAATAATTCTTTCTAGAAATATAAAATTTTAAATGAGAAGAGAAAAGAATATACTTGGGGAGATGGCTAAGACATCATATTTTACATCCAACTCCACCAAAGAATTCCCATTCATGGATCTCATGGTATGTAGGGCAAAATGTAGTCCAATCCAGCCCCCATATAGCCATAGCAGTATAAATCTACAAGCCCTTGACGTTTCGTAGGCATCCTCCCCTGATAAGGATAATCTCGCTGCATTTCTTGACTGTTTGAGTTAAAAATCATGTCTACTTGTTCACCATGCATCAAGTGAATACCAATTTCCTTGATGATAAAACCAACCATAGTAAAAACTGTGACATTCAAGGTGTCACCAGCATCCAGCTGACTCAGAAACTTCCAATGAGTGAACCATAACATTTCATTTTGGCCTTCAGGAAGGCCATAGCAAATTGGGCAATAAATCAGTTTCACATTCTTCTGCTCATTATGGATTATCAAATAAAATTCGGCACCCTTAATCAAGACTTTCCAGTCAATTGTGTACACTGAGCACACAGTTATGCCCTGGATCTTGAGATCAGGAGATGAAGGGACGGTGAAAGATAGAGTTGATCCAGCACTCTTGTAACAAAACCAATCAGGAACCATGCTCCCTGGAAGATATATGCTGATCATTCCTTTTTCAAGCAATACCTGTGTCATGAAGAATTTCATTAAAAATGTCAAAAAAAAAAAAGAACCAACAGGTACAGCTGTTACATGAAGAAGTTTGACCACACAAATGAAAGTAGATCCGTCAACCCCTTCTTTGGGGGTGGGAAGGGGGAATGGAAGAGGAGAAAATACCTTTACTGGTCCTCTACTTTCTGTATGAGTTGAATTGTTAAACAGTTTCACTTCAAAGCTTCTGACAGAATCCCACATGCTTAATTCCAACGACTTCATTGTTTTCTCAACTCCTCCCATGGATTCCAACTTATAGCTTCCCTCCATATCAGTGAGTTCTTTACAGCCACTTATTTGGTGAACTTTTGCACGGCACCCTACTGATAGATATGTAACTCTTTCTAGGGAAGTGCAGTTTCCCACCCCCAATCTGTGGATGCGAGGCAGGTCTATGAGAAATTTAAGCATTGTGCAAGAATATAATTCAAGATTGTTGAGCCTGGAAAGAGTTCTGATGCAATCTGGAAGACAACTGATTGGATTTTTACTGAGGTCTAGGTTCTGCAACAACATTAAATTACTGAAGTCCCTCGGAAAAGCAACTTCAGATAAGTTGCACTCAGATAGACTTAATTTAACCAATGACTTTGGTAAAGAAACCCATGAAAGCTCAAGAACTTTTTTCGGCTTCGGAACCCAAGACCGGATAAATACATGCCATATTGGGTTCTGTTTTCTCTTAGAGGGTAATTGACTCATTGGGATTTCATTGGCGAGAAATACTTCCAAGGATTGCATCCTCCACAAGTCTCTTGGCAATTCTACAAGATTTGAGCAACCAGATATTATGAAGGTTTTAAGAACTTTTAGCTTGCAAATCTCTCTGGGTAGCTTCTGAAGTCTTTTGCAGTTTTTGATATTTAAGAAAATGAGCCGAGCCTCTAAGGTTCCAATGGATTCATGAACCTCAATTAGATTGACACACTCTTTGAGAACAAGCTTTTCCAGCATTGGGAGTCCTGAAAAATCAGGAGTTCTGAAAAGAGAATGAGAGTGGCTGAGGTTGAGAATTTTTACCAATGGAAGCACCTACAATGAGAAAGATAACAAGAAAAGGATAAGTAATGAGATCCATATTCTACACACTTCATTAAAAGTGGAGGAAACTAATAACACAAAAACAATTGTCATACTCTTCTTCCTTCCCACAGTCTTTCCAAACAGCTGTTCCGCATGTCAAGAACAGACAAGCTCTCCAATGGAAAATCATTTGGCACACACTTCAAAGGAAAACCTCTCCAATATAGCCACCTCAGGTTCTTGGGAAAATCTTTATAAGCACCATTTAGATGGGTATAATTTATCTGAAGCAGTCTTAGCTTATTCATAACAGTAAAGAGATTCGTTCCCAATTCAAGCTCATTTAAGGATTTTGAAGAAAATTTGTTGGGATGCCTGGAGAAACCGAACCGATAACTCTTAACTTCTGTAAACAGCCACTTTCTTCCACTGCTAGAACTTCCCATGAAGGATTCGCCTTCCTTTACCATATTCATGTCAAAGAAAAGACCTTCAATAGTCTCTGAGCCCTGAAAAAGGAATTAGAGAAGAGCTTAGCAGTGTCCAAAAGAAAAGGAAGTATACACCAGAAAGGAAATGTTTACCATGTTTTCTCTCAATACATTAAATGAATCCTTGTAGTGCCACAACCGGGTACGCCTCCCAGGCTTCTTAGATGATTCTTGACGGACTATATCTCTGCCCATGTCCCGAAGCATTTGATGCATTATCAACTTGTTACCCTCAATCATCAAAAGGAATCTATCTATGAGATTCTGAATCCCAACTCTTGTATAAATATAAGATTCCTCTAGCACAGCAATAACATAATCTTTGTCCTTTCTTGCGAAGAAGCAGGCAATGTCAAGGAACAAATTCTTATCATGATCATCTTTTAATGAGTCATACCCAAATTTTAGTTTTTTAATGATCTGGCTTGCAGGAATTGTGTCCAACTTGTCTAATGTACTCTTCCATACATCGATATTTTTCCCACGAAGAGAAGAACCCAATACTTGAAGTGCCAGAGGAAGCCCTCCACAATGCTTTACCACCCTTTTTGATAGTTCCATGTAGTCATCAGCTGGGTGGTCCTCCCCAAAGGAATGCCAACTGAAAAGCTCCAGGGATTCATCATTACCCATTTCCCTGACTTTATGGACTTTTTGAATTTCTTGAACCTTCAGCAAACATGAATTCTTAGTTGTTATGATTATTTTACTTTCTGGACATAACCAATTTTTCATTCCAATTATAGCGTGAATTTGTTCTTGTTGATCAATGTCATCCAATATGACTAGAACTCTCCTAGAACATAAAGCATCTCTAATCTTGATGATGCCTTCATCAGTATCTTGTATTTTACTCTTTTTCCCAGTTAAATCATAAAGTAGCTGCTTTTGTAAGCGAATTAAGCCAGGTTGCTGAGAAATATCTTGGATATTTTCAAGAAAACTACTACCTTCAAATCTTCTACAGTTTGTAGTGAAAACATATTTGGCAACAGTTGTCTTCCCAATTCCACTCATCCCACAAATTGCAATAACATTATCATCATGTGATCCGTCTTGCAACCATGAATTGATATTTTCGACCCGTGAACTGATCCCAACCAGGTAAGGTGCAACACTAGATATTGTCCGGTTCAGCTTATCCTCAATGAGTTGAAGAATTTCTTCAATGATCTTTGATTCCTTCCTAATCAATTACCAAAATTATCATTTCTGACTGTAATGATTTGTAAAGGATTTTCTATGCAAGCAAGATAAGTTACAACTGTGTAACCAGCAAAGTGATTGGAATAAAACTGGAATGCGAAATAAAGAAGTAGGAAATCCAGCATCCTAACTTAAGACAATACGGACAGACAAGAAATTTATCTATTCCAACCTATTCATAAAAGTAATTTGATCCCTAATTTCATTTCCTTTTTGATGAAATCAGTTTGTATCATACAATACTTGGATGTCTCAATGGAAAGATCCTAAAGCTCAAGTTGTCAACACACATCCATAAATATTTGAGACTTCAAGCAAATTTCAATTCACTGGATATTAATGTACTGAGATAGAACCTGTAGTTCTCCCCCCACCCACCTTTTTCCCCCCTAAAGAGCTTTAACTTAACCTTTAATGATTTTATAGAATTCCTCAAGAAATGCAACCTCAAATTGCAATATGCAAGATGAAACAAGTTCAAAAAGGTTGCTCGAAAACAGAATCTTAATCAATTCTTGATTACTATGCAGTATGAAGAAAAAAACTTACTTATACTCTTGATTGTTCACTAGAACACCACCCGAATCTGCCACCTCTCCAAGAGAGGCTCTCCATTTTCGGACCTTATCTATCAACTCCCTCTTTCCTTCATCACTTTCAGCTTTAATTTGCCTCTCATAACTCGCAAATGCCTCTGCAAAACTCTTTTTCTGATCTCTAACTTCAGAAGGATCCACATGATAGAAGACAGGAAGAACTGCATGCCCTTTTGTCCTCTTATGTTCAAGGATTTTGACAAGTTCATCAAGGCACCATGTTGAAGTAGCATAGTTCTTCGAGATGATAATTATTGAACTCCTCGAATTTATAATTGCATTCTCTAGTTCTGTCTTAATATTTTCCCCTCTCTCAATCTCATTATCATCCTTAAACGTACGCCACCCTGCACCTACCAAAGCTGCATAAAGAGTGTCAGTAAAAGTCTTGCGGGTGTCTTCGCCCCTGAAACTCAAGAACACATGATAAATGGATGGATAAACAAAAGAGGAAGATGTTTGTGGTCTTTCAGAACCCATCAGATCGAGTTGACCAATCAATTCTCCACAATTACACAATGCTTTAAAAGCCAATATATGAAATACCAACAAGAAAATGTAGACTAGAGAAAGCTAGTTTTAGGTAGGTTAATCCCATTATCTTGTACTAATAAATTAATAAGCTGATTCTTTATTTAATTAGTACTGAAATCAACAGCCATGGATCAAATGAACACCAGTCCAAAATCTGACTCAATGTTCACTAACTTCTGTCTTTACCACAAATAATGAATCAATATAAATCAAAGATGATTTAGTAATCTATACTTGTTTGATTATCAAAGCCGGCCAACTGATTGATTAGTTTATTCAGAAATCTGCGAGTATGTACTCACCTCAGCATCGGTCAATATTCTTTCTGCATAGATCATCCAATGTTACATAATAAATAAAATTAAATTAAAAAAGTTGTTATCCTTTCGGCTACTACATCACTTCTTTTCTGCATACCCTGAAATATGATCAAATCCCCCGGGCCGCCATCTCTCTTCTTGCTGGACAATCCATGGCTTCCGAGAATTTCTGAATTTTCCGTCTCGACGTAACACAATTTCAAAACGGTTATACGGGTCAACACAGTCTCACTAGAGCTATGAATATGGGCCGGCGCACCCCATCCGGATTAATTTATAAATTTGACGGGTCAGGTCCCATTTTTTGTGTGGGCTGGAAAATAGTTGGCCTTGCCTAATAAGTACTCCTTAGGAAGAATAATGGCTGTTTTACAGGAATATGAGCATCAATCTGGCCAAAAGGTGAACAAAGACAAGAGTTTCTTTTATTTGCATCAAAATGTAGCAGCAGGAATTCCAACCTTAGTGGAGCAGTGTGTTGGAATGAACAAGGGTTCTTTTCCTATGAAGTATTTGGGATGTCCTATCACCCATACAAGAAAGAGAAAAGAACACTATGCAGAGCTGATTGAAAGAGTTAAAGGTAAGCTACAAGTATGGAAAGGAATGATGTTATCCTGTGGTGGTAAAGAAGTTCTACTTTCTAGTGTTTTGCAAAGCATTCCTATATATGTATTATCTGCAATCACTCCTCCTATATGTGTGATCAAGGAATTACATAAGATCTTTGCTAAATTTTTTTGGAGTAATAAGGAGTCTGGTAGGAGTAAACATTGGGCTGAATGGGTCAAAGTCTGTCTACCAAAGCAGGAAGGAGGGCTTGGTTTCAGATCATTATTTGAAGTTTCTCAGGCTTTATATGCTAAATTGTGGTGGAAATTTAGGACACAAAACAATTTGTGGTCCAACTTCTTTTGGAACAAATATTGCAAGAAACAAATTCCTTCTCTTGTGGAATGGAAAGGAGGTTCTCAAATCTGGAAACATATGCTTGAAAATAGAGATGTTATTGAACAGTATTTGTGGTGGGAACCTAGGGGTGGAACTTCTTCCATTTGGTATGATAATTGGTCCAATCTTGGGCCTTTGCACTTACATCAGTTAGGCACCCCAACATGTCACCCCATGAGAGATATAGGGGACCTTTTTAATGAGGAGGGCTGGGATTTTGATGCTCTTCATGATGCTGTTCCTGAATATGTAGTGGATCATATCACACATAATATGAGGTTTCTACAGTTGGAAGATTTAGCGGACAAACCTTGGTGGACCAAATCTAGTACTGGATATTTCAGTGTTAAGAGTGTTTGGGAACTGCTAAGGAAAAAGGAGAATGTCAATGAAGATTTCAAATCTTTATGGGTGAAAGGTTTACCTTTCAAGTTCTCATTTCTAGCCTGGAGGATTTGGCGAGGAAAAGTACCTGTGGCTAATGTCATTCATGCTTGGAATCCTAATATCTCTCAGAATTGCAGGTGTTGTAACATTCCTGAGAATGAGTCTATTAATCATTTGTTCTTGAGAGGAGAGATCGCAACCAGAATATGGTCGTATTACTCTGGAGCGGCTGGAATAATTGGGGTCATGTTGAATGTAAAACAGATGGTGAGAAAATGGTGGTCTACTGATGGTAACTACAGGATAAAGCTAGTTTATCAGGCTATTCCTATAGTTATAATGTGGTTTTTGTGGAAAAGGAGAAATACTATATTAAATGGTGGATCTTATTCGGTTGGAAAGTATCTGGAAGGGTATAGCGTAGTCTATAACTTCAAAGTGGTGAAATGGGTTCCACCTCCGATAAATTGGTTTAAGGGTAATACTGATGATGCTTCTAAGGGCAACCCTGGACCTAGTTCAGTTGCTTTTTGTATTAGGGATCATGAAGGAAATCTAATTGTAGCTAAAGGGGTCAGACTTCAGGAGACCACCAATTTGATTGCAGAAGCCATAGCCATAAGAGAATGTTTGGTGTTTTGCAGAGACAATATGTTGTCTCAGATTATTATTGAGACAGATTCTCTGGCAATGGTTCATATTCTAGAGGGACAGTGGGAAACTCCATGGAGTGTGGCTTGGGAAGTCAGATTCATTCAGAATTTGAAGGGAATTGTGTCGGCAAGAGTACAACATTCCCTCAGGGAAGGAAATACTCTTGCTGATTATTTTGCTAACTTAGTTTTTGATTTTGCAGGTAACTATCAACTTAATTCTGTACAAGAAGTTCCCAATGAAGGCAAAAAGATTATATACATGGATAAAAGTGGTACTCCTAATATCAGAAGATTTTTAGCGGAATCAATTTGTTGATTTACTACTTGATGCAGATTTAACTTTTGAGAGGAATACCAGTTTAAAACATAGTGTTCAGTGATGACTACAGTAATGTCTGAAGAAATTTCGTTATGGTTTGTGTGTTTCGCACCTGGTGAGGGCTTTGAGGTGTCCAAGGAATACCTAACCAAGACATTATTATCAATACTGGGTGCTTGTTTTAATATCTGTACTGCTGCATTTTTGAATCTGCAAAGAGATTACATGAGAACACTCATCGATCTTGAAGCTCTGACGTTCCTAGCTCCTATTGCGAGATAGAGAAGGGTGAATTTCTTTTCATTTTCAGCTAGAAGTGAAGATGGAGATTATCTTTGATAGCGGTGCTTTCTCCGGGGGTTGGACGACGACAAGTAGCTCACACGCTTAATTATGGTGCTTCCTCCGGGGATCAGAAAATAACAGCAACCTTGTCTTCCTCTATGATCTGCTTCTTCCAGCAGATATGTTCAAGATATGTTACAGTGACCTCTCCACTCTCTTTGTTCATTTGGTCCTTTTTCTTATTTTATTTTGTCTTATTGGACACAAGGCCACTTTTGGGCCTGATCTTGTACAAGGTTATATTTTGCAATAAAAGGGGTCTATGCCCGACTTTAAATTTTAAAAAAAAAAAAGTATATAGACTTTGTTGGGTCAGCCCTCTTTTCTTAAAAATATATTTTTTATAATTTTTTAAATTAAATTATAATTTAAAAATATTATCATAAATATCGACAAGACAATATTCATGGTGTTAGTGTTACTACTTGTTAATCAAATACACAAATAAAATTATATTTATAATTTATAAAGTTTGTTTTAAGTAAAAGCATAAATAGCTAAATAGAAATATTAACCTAATTGTTTTCCAATGATCATAATAAAACACAAAAACTATGATAATATATAGCTTATTTCCTATGTAGTGATTCCCTAATTTTATTTTATGTAGGACATATTTTATAAACATAATTTGTATTTAAATTGTAATATTTCAAACTTTAAACAGATTTTGAGTCTAGACTCTTGTTATTTTATTTTGGGCAAATCACATAAATATGATATATTAAGAAAATATTTACCATCTATGGCAATATAATTTTTCTAACTTAATATAACAATTTTTTGGATTAAAAAATTGTACCGCTTCGCCTCTTTCTCTGTCCTTTTTCTCTTCCTCATCTTCTTCTTTTTGTTTTTCTTCTTTTCGTCTCTTTCTGTGTTATTCTCTCTCTTCCTCCTCTTCTTTTATTATTATTATTCTTCTTCTTCTTTTAAAATTTTCATTTAAATAATTATCCTCAAATCAATTTTTATCCATATTTCACTATTTTTATCCAAAAACACGACGAAAAGAGAAATAAAAAAATAATTTTTTTTACAATATCATATTCTCAAATAAAAATTTCAAATCTCTAAAATTAACAACAAGAATTCACCATTGATGGTCACTATAAAGCTTCAAAATTTGAATTCATTTTATGAATCTTATGAACTCGTGATTAGTTTGGATAGGTTGATCCTACAAATAATTTAAAATGCAGTTTAAAGTTTATATCTCAATTTTAAGAGGGTTCAGTTAAGTTTATAATTGATTTTAGGAGAAATATAAGATTGAAACTCAAAAAAGGTAAAGTTTATGGAACTATATCGCAATTGTATTAAAATTGAATTAGATATGTTTTATAATTGTATTAAAATCATGAACAATATATTTATAATACATATTGCAAACTTTACTCTCTTCTTAGTGATACCAACCAAATGATTTAGGTAACACACTTAATAATACATTTATAATACATGCACACTACATTTTAAATATATATTGCAAACATCACTCATGTTCTTAGTGATACAAACCAAAATAATTTATAACACTAATACATGTTTTATTCATGAATAATACAAGTTTAATTCAGTCTATAGATTATTGTCTTGTCTTTCGTTAGTTATGTTTTTCATTTATTCTTAATTTTCTCTTCTAATTCAACTTTAATATTGTGTATACACTTTTAATGCAAATTTAATTCATTTTGTAGTTTATTATTTGTTACTATTATATTACTTGTTTAATTAATTTTTTATATAAGTTTAATTCACTTTGTAGATCATTGGCTGCTCTTTCATTAGTTACATTTTTTATTCGTGCTTAATTCTCTCTTCTAATTCAATTTTAATATTTGTGTAATACACTTTTAATACAAGTTAATTCATTTGGCAGTTTATTGGTGATTTGTTACAATTGAATTACTTGATTATTTCATTATTAATACAAGTTTTATTTAGTTTACAAATCACATAATGCTCTTTAGTTTGCTACATTTTGCATTCATGTTTAATTCGCTTCTAATTCAACTTTAATATGTGTGTAATACATTTTTAATTCAACTTTAATTCATTCGGCAGTTTATTATGTTTCTTCATTTGTTATGATTAGATTACTTGTCTGCTCTTTCGTTTGCAATTAGTTTGGATAGGTTGTTCCTACAAATAATTGAAAATATCTTTTGGAGTTTATATCTCAATTTTAAGAGGGTTTGATTAAGTTTAGAATTGATTTTAGGAGAAATACTAGATTGAAGCACGAAAAGGATGAAGTTTATGGAACTATATTGGGTTTGTATTAAAGTTGTGTTAGATATGTTTCATAATTGTATTAAAATTGTATAAAATTCATGAACAATACATCCTACATTTATAATACATATTGCAAATTTCACTCCCTTTTTAATGATATCAACTAAAACAATTTAGATAACACACTTATAATATATGCACAATACATCTTTAATACATATTGCAAACATCACTTACGTTCTTAGTGA